AATCCGGCCCTTAACTGGTCACCGGCCCCTAATTGGCATTTTCCCTTAATTGCGCATCCGATTTGCGTGATCATAAAATCTGGCAGGGTATCGACTGATACCGGTGCCAAATTGGAGGTGCGACTGTATTATATTTCACTTCATGCTTCAGTGTGTGTGCCAAACACATTATTGCGTAGCCACAATGTGACGCAATTGCGAACCACAGGAGTGCTTGACAAGCACTACTTTGCTATCATGGTATTCGGATCAATGCGCCACGCTGTTCAGCACCTTCGCCAGTCGGCTAGGAACACTTCCACCCGACGTGCAACTGTATCTGCTTCCTCCTCCTTTTCCTGCGCTCCACGTGCTCTGGTGCAGCAAGCCTGTGTCAATGCTGCGCCACTCGTTGCCCAGCCGCAACACATGAAAGCGGACCCAACGGGTATCGTGGCCGGCATCGCCATCGCGGGTGCCTTGATTGGCGTGGGTAAGATGTGGTGGGACGCGTCGTCGTCTAGTACGGTGGAGCCACCGGCCTTCCAGGAGATCCCGCAAGCAGAGATCGCGCTCTTCTTCACGGAACTCACGGCTGCTGTCAAGGACCTCTTCGTACGCGTGCTGTGTCTGCTCTTAAGTGGTATTGATCGAGTACTTACACTTATTTTATGCCTCGTAATTGACAGAAACAATTACCGGAGATTGAGAACGCTGTACGCAAGTACCTGAAGGACAACAACCACGAGCTGAGTGACGCCGAATTTAAGCAAGCTATTCTGTCGCAGCTGTATCAGATGATGGAAGGCATCGAGCAACAGATCGTTGCCAAGCGCCTGTGGAGCCGTCAGAGCCTCGAGTTTGCACTTGAGAAGTACGCACAGGACCCGGAGGTACTCAAGCTCCAGGACAACCTGAACACCATCATGCGATCGTAAGTTTACACCTATTCTGTGTGGAGTGCTCGGGCGTTGCAGATTTCGAAACACTAATAGGATTCTCACTACCCGCTACTTGGCTGTTCTTCCCGCTCAGTGTGTTCCCTGCTCCGGAGCCCGTGGAGGTTCCTGAGGATCTCACTGCCGACAAGACACTGGTGATTTTGAAGGAAATGGTGAGAGGCATGGAGAAGGCCATGGCAGACATGCTTGCGCACGCTCGGGCGGAGGGCATCACCGATGTGCAAAAGGCTATGGAGGAATTCCAGTACTTGTACATGGAGCACGTGGAGCAGATGACACAGACTCAGATGAAGACCCAGGGCATATCGCAGGAGGTAAGCACAGCTTTTCTTTTCCGACAGTTCGAGCTGCACCGTGGTTGACTGACGTGCATCTACTGTGTGATCCATTGTTCATTACAGATTTTAACGGCTGCTTTGCAGAAGTACCACACCGAAAGCGAGCAGTTCCGGCACCAAGTGGAGCAGATCTACGCTCAGCAGGCGAAAGCGTACGTTACTGGAAGATGCACACGTCCGCATGATAGAAACGATTCTA